AAAGAGACAGAGAAAGAGAGAAAGAGGGAGAGACAGAAAGAGAAAGAGAGAAAGAGGGAGAGACAGAGAGAAAGAGAAAGAGAGAAAGAGGGAGAGAGAGAAAGAGATAGAGAAAGAGAGAGGGAGAGAAAAAGGGAGAGGGAGAGAGAAAGAGAGAGAAGCAGAATGAAAGAGACAGAGAAAAAGAGGAAGAGACAGAGAAAGAGGGAGAGACAGAAAGAGAAAGAGAGAAAGAGGGAGAGAAAGAAAGAGGGAGAGAGAAAGAGAGAGAAGCAGAATGAAAGAGACAGAGAGAAAAAGAGGAAGAGACAGAGAAAGAGAGAAAGAGGGAGAGACAGAGAGAAAGAGAAAGAGAAAGAGGGAGAGAAAGAAAGAGGGAGAGAGAAAGAGAGAGAAGCAGAATGAAAGAGACAGAGAGAAACAGAGGGAGAGACAGAGAGAGAAGGGGGGGCTCCAGGATTTTGAGATGCTTTGTCAGTTGCCAACTCCGGGAGTGAAGTAGCCCCCCACCCAACAAAAGACCTCCCCTCCCTGGCCTGGGCATAGAGGCAGCTAGTCGGAAGGGACTCCAATTCCCATCTGAGCCCCCCCCCCCTGGTCCAGGGAGAGCCCAGCCCAGTTTGGTTTAAAAAGAGAATCGGCTAACTGGGAAGGGGGGAGGGCAGCTTAGAAGACCTTCTAGATGGCCTTAGGCATTTCCCACCCCCCAAGCCTCTCAGACTCCCCGCAGCTGTGGTGGGGAATCACGGAATAACAGAGCTGGAAGGGACCTTGGAGGTTTTCTAGTCCAGCCCTCTGCTCAAGGAGGAAAAGTGACACCCTTTCAGACAAAGGGTCCCCCCCCAAAAGGAGCACCCCCAACTTCTGCAGGGAAGCCCTTCCCAAAGAGGGGGAGGTGAAAGAGAGGGTCAGGGGCTTCTCCAATGCCTGCCCCACTGCTCCCTCTTTCTATTCTGGGTTTCCCAGTGGCAGCCCTTGGAATTAACCCCCCAGGCTTTCCCTCCTGTCACCCCCCCCTCTTCAAGCAGCAAAGCCCCCTCCCCTCCCCAGGGACTCACTCCTCTCCAGGAAGCTGCGGACGGTGTTCCCTTCCAGCAGGTGGGGGTCCTTGGTGACCCCGTCAGCGTCGGCCACGGTGTTGTAGAGGTCGACCATGTACTGGGGGGGCTCCTTGAAGTAGAGGGGGGGCTGCGGGGGTCCTTCGATGCCAAAGACCTCCAGCAGCTGCTTCAGGGCCTGGTCCCGGGTGTCTTCGGAGTCTTCGGAGCCCCAGGTGGGCTTAGCAAGGCAGGCAGGTGCCCAGGTGAGCAGCAGCAGCAAAGACAGGAGCTTCCTCATCATCTCGGCTTCTGGGATTCCTCAAGAGGACTAGCTCCTCTGGGCTGGCCCAGGCCCCCTTTATACCCCCCCCAGCAGAAGGGGCAGGGGCTGATGGGCCATCAAGGAAGGGCAGGGGATTAATGGGCCCGCTAACAAGGTGCCAAGCATCCCATCAGCTGGGTCCACACCTGGCAGGGCTGTGGATTCCTCAGGAGGGGCACCCCCCCTTCCAATTGGGGTGGGGGGTGGGCTGTGTGTTTGTGGCTGGGGCTGAGCCGGCCTGGGCAGGAAGGAGTGGGGAGAATTCGCCCCCCCACAAACACACAGGCCTCCCCGAAGAAGTTTATTGAGGATGGGAGGCTGCCAGCCAGATGAGTTAGCTCTCCGCAGGGGGCTAACTGGCATCTAATGGGGAGCAGTGGGGGGCCATTTGCAGACAGGAATTAGGGGCTTCTGGGAGGGGGAGAGGGGGGGAGATGCCCTCCATGGAGCAGCGCCCTTCGCCCCAAATGCTGACCCTCCTGGCTGGGAAGAAAGCTCTCCCCCCCTCTCTCTTTCGAGGCACCAGATGTGAGCAGCCCCGATGATGCAATTTCAGCCCTGCACCCCCCAGCCCAAGAGGGGGTGGTGGCTGGGGGCACGGGAGAAATGGGGGGGCTGCAACTGAGCCCCCTTGGAGGCCACACAATGCCCAGCCCCTGTGCCAAGGGCCTTTTGAAAAAGCACAACAGGACTCCAGTCCTCATGGAATTTCAAGAGTTCCTGGGGCCCCCTTGGAGCCCCATGTTTTACCAGAACTGGGGCAGCTCAGAGGGCCCCTGCTTCCCTCCACAACCTGCCCCCAATCGCTTCTCCCCCTTTTCCTGGTCTTTTTCAGCAAAGACGGAGGCCGGATAGATGACCTCTGGTTACTCAGGGGTGCAAGCAGCTTTGACACCCCTTGGTTTGCACCCAGCTGAGCTGCAGCCTTCATGTCTGGAAAATCCTTAGAACTTTTTTCCTTCCCAACCTCATCGGATCCTCAGCAGCACCCAATCAGGACA